CTGCGTCAATGCTTTGGAATGTACACTCGTGCACAAGGCAGCCACTGAAGTCAAACGTTAGAAATGTATCATTTCACCTTCATGTGGCTGACAGGGAAGAAGAGAAGAAAAAGTGAATGTGGTCTTCAGTAATTGGATAATTTGAGATGTACTAATACGTCAAGGAAGAATGAGAGTGTCTTTGATGTTTGTGTTATGATTCTGTAAATCTTAATGATGAATATATAAACATTTTTGATTTGGGCAACTTGATGTTCAGTGCATGTTTCAAGCATGCATTTGTCCCAGAAGAAGGAAAACTCTGTTAAATAGCTTTTTCACCTTGCCAGTTATATAAGACTTTTCTTTATATAAATATATATATGAAAATTTTTTTTGATTCTCTTGAGATTGTTATTTGAAAGTAAACGCTTGGTGTTATATAAAGTATTGACCATAACCAAACTTCTTCTGTGTGCTGGAAGAAAAGGGGGTCAAGACGTAATCCCCAAATTTCACCACTTATTTTTTCAGACTTACTTCTATTTTTCTTTATGCACCTGAAAAAAATGACGGTACTGATTCTGTGGTGAAATAGTACACAGGTGTTGCCCCAAGCCTGAACAAAATTGTGTTTCAGTGGTCCAAATGATGACGATGACGATGATGATGTACGAGTTATGTTCAAGCTCTTGTTCTCTTCTTCATGTGACTCCCTCGTATTATGACTGTGTATAATAATGCATCTTATTTTGTCACCATTATCTTGTCACTTCTTTTTTTTGTATGTTTTACAGAAGAAAAAGAACTAAGACAGCCCATGTTTTGTTTGATAAGATTTATTACTGGATTGTTTTCATTCGTCAGCACTACTACTGTGTAAATAACCTGGTCAGAAATAAACAATTGTAGTGATTCAAACCTTTCTGACCACCTTTTTTTTTTGTGGGTGGATGTTCTCTGGAAAAAGTGTGTGTTTGAGTGTACAGTGTGAGCGGAGGTCCCTCTTCATTCTTGTTGAATAATTTGTTGGGTTTTTTTAAAATTAAAAATTTTTTTTTTCATTATCTATGGAGAAGGTTGGAGGGTGCCACATAGCGGGTGATTGGAGGGTGCTCTGGTGTGGTTTGCTCCTTCTTTCCCTATCAAACATCTTATCGTCTTTATCTCCCCTCCTTCTTTTTTGTGTTTGTTACTCTCTTGTAACACCTCTATTCTTCGGCACTTATATGACCTTATTGTGTTGCAAGTGCCGTAAAACTCTTACTTAAACTGAAACTGTTCTACTTTCCTTTTCTGGCTTGTGCACACTGATTGACGAGGTACTTTCAGTTATGTACACTGTCCAGCTTTTTTTATCCAATGCCAACGGTAGATTATCTCCCAATACCTGTTTGACCCAGTTTGATCCTTGTTTCTAGTAGTCGTAGTATAGGGTTTTACGCCGCTCGCAACTGCGTAAGGTCATATGAGCGCGTGATCCTTGTGAGGGTGGCGAGATTTTCCTTTATGGAGTGGAAAATCTATCATTTTGCTACGGTTAGATCAGAGAGTTTTACAGTAATACAATGTTACTGTAAACCCTCTGTGGTTAGATTCGATCCTCCAAAGTTGGACGTGTCTGACGTTTTTGGTCGCAATCTGATGCATTTGGGCAGTAGGCGGGTGCTTTGGTGTGGTGTGCTTCTTCTTTCCTTCAAACATGTATCGTCCTTATCTCCCCTTCTTTTTTATGTTTGTTACTCTCTTGTAACACCTCTAATCTTCTGGCCCTCAAATGTGAGGTGTGCTGACAAAATGAGTTACTTCTCGCAATCCAAGAACGGAGATATCGGCCGAAAATCACAACTGGAGTCAGATTTATAGATTTTCAATTGACGCCATTTTGTTCAAGTCTACCGTGTCTTTTATTATTACATACTTACAAATTGTACAAACTCCACCTGTAAAGTTGATGTATAAATTTCTGTTATGCTAAAATCCGAGAAGTAACTAATTTTGTCAGCACACCTCATATATGACCTTATGCTGTTGCGAGCGCCGTAAAACCTCTACTAGAACTAAAATCTGATGCATTAGTTGAAAATTTTTTTTTTTAGTAGGTGTTTTTACACCCCCCTAGGCACAATTTAGATCGTTTCGGAGGCGGCCAACCTGGGCTGAGTGAAAGGGGATACAACATCCCAACAGAAAGATCAAGATACTCTGTAAAAGTTACTCCCTGCACGGGAATCAAACTTGAGTCTCTAGCATGTGACAGCGAAGTGCCTATAAGCGCAACAGTTTAGCTCCTCCAGGGGCTCTCATGGCCTTGAAGTTACGGTGTTCTCTCATTTTATAGGTCAGGGGTTCGCAACCTGACAGTGATGGAAAATTTGTGTCTCTCATAATATTTTCTCTGTTCACTTCCTTTCCTGCTCTCTAGCAATGTTCTATCGCCTGCTTTTGTCTCCACTTTCTGCCCCCCTCCCCCCTTTTTCCCCCCTCCTCTGGACTCCAGACTCTTTTTGCAGCCTGTCTACTGCTACTCCTTGGCTCCTTCTTACTGCTGTCTTTTAGCCAGACCCCTAATCAGATGGTAACACCTAGCGTTCTCGGATAAGGGCAAAAAAAAACTCGGAGGTCTCGTGTCCAAGTTATGCACATTAATGATCCCTCGGTGGTCGAAAATTGACAAGAGTAGCTTTGGTCGCCACCCGCGCAAAATTCAAAATTCCTGCGAACTGAAAAAGTTTTATATGTACGCCCCCTAATGCAGTTGCGAGCGCTGTAAAACAGTTACAAAGAAAAAAAAAAGTTTTGCTCCATACATCATTTGCGAGGTGTGCTGACAAAACTAGTTACTTCTCGGATTTTAGCCTTACAGAAATTGATACATCAACTTTATAAGTGGAGTTTGTACAATTTGTAAGTATGGAATAATAAAAGACACGGTAGACTTGAACAAAAGGGCGTCAATTGAAAATCTATAAATCTGACTCCAGTTGTGATTTTCGGCCAATATTTCTGTTCTTGGATTGCGAGAAGTAACTCATTTTGTTAGCACAGCTCACATTTCTCCCAGGACTACCAGGCAGAAGAAGTAAAATTTGTGAGGCAGCGTGGCGGAATCAGGCTCTCGTCAATTTTTAGGCATGTAGAGTTATTGGTATCATCTTAAAGCTTGGTCACTTGTCTTTATTTGGATGAAAAAATATCCATTTATCTTGAAGACGAGTTGAGATATTTGCGATAGAAGGAGGTGGGGGTCACTTGTTTTCAGAGGTAAAATTAGTGAGAAAATGGCCGCCAAAGATTACTTATTTCCTTAGCTTAAGAGTCCGTGGTAACTGAAAATTTACATTTTTTGTGCCTTTAATCGTTTTTCTGAAAAATCCAAACAGAAATGAGTTCTTAAATGGGCATGAAAGGTGTTGAGCCAAAAAACAAAAATTTGAAAAAAATTCACAAACCTGTGGAAAAAGGCAAGTTTCTTCACTTAGATTATTTTGACGAGAGCCTGATTCCACCACGCTGCCTCACATTTGTTGTGTAGCTCTCTCATAATCTCCATTGTATAAGGGTAAGGAAAAACATCCACAAAGAAAGGTGCAGAGAAGGGAGAAGGGTACTGAACTTTTTTTTAATGCAGAACATTTGTACAGGATTCATGAACAAAAGATCCATAACATAAAATTGTGCAAATGCAAGCCGAGAAAATGGAGAGAAAGCCAGCAGCATGTAGTCAGTCAGCTGTTCAGATGTAACAGTCCCAGAACCATGGGAGTTCTTTTTACTGCAGTTTCTTAACCCTATCCATACGTCGTGTTTTACTATCGTATCAATATGATGTGGGGAACTCTGTGCCACCACTTTCCAAAAAGGTAATTTACTCGTTAATCTGATCTGCACGCTTTGCGTAGCAGTCTGTCAAAATTGTTTTTTGAGAAATACTGAAAGTTTCAAAGAGATCTTGGCACCAGAAGTATTCTAAAATGTGAAGAATACAACCCCTGGGGTACAAAATGACCCCAGGCATGCGGATAGGGTTAATCTGTGCGATCAGTTGAATGTATTCGAGAAACATTTGGTCGAAAATCAAAAACTAAATATTGAAAAAAATATGATTCTTAAAATATATTTAGGTATAATTTCTAAAAAAAATATCTCTGTCTTTAATTTGCTTTCTGTGCTTGGAACAACAACAAAGTTAACTTTCCAAATTCTGTTTTAATTCAATTCACATCATTTATTGACTCATTCATTAACTTTGCCGAGTACTCACACATTTAGAAACTGAGTGAAATGTACTGAAAATAAGGGTGCATTCATTAGTTTTAGTTAATATTACTGATATTTTGGCATTGATTGGTTCGGACCCCATCTCAAATTCAACCCTACTTGTAAACATTGGCATTTTACTCACACACAAGTTTAACTCTATCCGTATCTCGTGTTTTACTATCGTATCCATACGATGTGGGGAACTCTGTGCCACCACTTTCCAAAGAGGAAATTTACTCATTAATCCGATCCGTTTGCTTTGTATAGCAGTCTGTCAAAATGATTTTTTGAGAAATACTGAAAGTTTCAAAGAGATCTTCGCACTAGAAGTATTCTAAAATGTGAAGAATACAACCCTGGGGTGTACAAAATGACCGCAAGGCGTACGGATAGCATTAAATAACTGGGGTTCACTGTGCATGTAAAGTTTGGTCGTATCACAGGTTTCCAAACCATTGTTGCAGTTATTCTTAAATTCAACAAATTATTGCAAAAAGAGATCACAAAAACATTCCACACCAGACGTTCCAGAGTCCCGTTAGTAACCAAATTCTCATTAGGAGAAAAATCAAGTTGTTCCCAATAATGAGTCGTTACAGCCACTCTGGGTGCACTCAGAAGCTCTCTGGACCCAGTCACGCCAAAGTTTTTCCAGAACAACTTGTTATCATGATCGGCTTGTTTAAGATGTCCACAAAATAAGCCTCTGCAGTTCGAAAAAGAAGAGATGCTGTAGAGTTGTCTTTTCGTGTTTTTTTAAAATCACATCGGCTCTGCTGTTTTTCAGATCTGAGGAGAAAGATGGCAATATACAAAATGTTTGAAAGGTTTTGAGAGGTTTCTTTCAATACTTTGTTCACTGATCATTTTATACATTTAACACTTCTTTCAATACTATTACCATCGAGTCCTGCCAGCATTTCATAGAATAACAGTATAAAATGGTTTGGCCACCTGTTACGTATGTCACCTGGCCAGCCAGCCTCGAGAGCCAATAACACCAAACACTCAGAAACGCTGAGAAATTTTAATATCCCAACTGAAAGAGCTGTGGAGCTGGCCTACCATAGAAAACTGCATCTCTCCTCGACGCTTAACGGCAACAGAGGATGAAAAAGTAAAAGTTAGTAAAAAGTAAGTTTAAACTGTAGGGTTAAATAAGAGCCTAGAGATGAAACCTGAATTTCACATCCATCTCTGATAGGACCAGGCCAAATGGGTGAAGAGCCTAAAAAAAATTCAACATATACATTCCCCAACTTGGATGAACTGTACATAACAGCTTGCATGAAAAAAATTATTTCTATTTTTTTAAAAAGACAACAAACATCCCTTGTTCCCGCAAATAAAAACATCAGTCAGAAGTAAAAGACCTAGGCTTCTGATATCTGTAACATAGAAAGATACAGAAGGTCATTTTTACCATATCATCCATCAAAATTCTTCCATCTTCACCATCTTGTATAATTATTCATATGACCTTAGAGCGTGCATGAGAATAACATGGAGTATGTATCTAGCTTAAGATTTTAATGGTTCATATAGCTGCTCATTTATATTATGCATGTGACTGTAAGCCTGCGTGTGTGTGCATGTTTGTGTGTTTGTGTGTGTGTGTGTGTGTGTGTGTGTGTGTGTGTGTGTGTGTGTGTGTGTGTGTGTGTGTGTGTGTGTGTGTGTGTGTGTGTGTGTCAGGATCTGGACAATAAAGACGTATCTTATCTTATCTGGTGCGAAAAGTCCCCAAAACAAACCAAACTTAGAACACTCCTTTGAGCATTCATACCAGAACCCGCAGTCTCCATAATAGTCCAGTGTGTCACTAACTGAGCTAATTGTTTAGCTTTCTGCTTTGGATCGAGCCATTTCACTCTAGAAAAGTTAGTTTTAGTAGGAGTTTTACAGCACTTGCAACACAAAACGGTCATATAAGTGCCGAAGATTAGAGGTGTTACAAGAGAGTAACAACACAAAAAAGAGGAGGGGAGACAGAGAGATAGATTTTTGTATAGGAAAAAAGGAGCAAACCACACCAGAACACCTGCCAACCACCTACTAGAAAAGTGAAGAGGAGTGTGATGACTAAAACTTTCAGCATAGAGGGATAAAATAATGAAAATCATTGACTGGGCTTGTCACAACAGAACTTTTCCCTTCAAATATCAGATCGGCTAGGCTCATTTTGGTGTCACTGCCACAGACAAGAACTTTTAACATGAAATAAGAACTGCCCACAAAAAAATATTTTTATGAAACACAGTCTAATCTCTCTAGCAGCCACCTGTCTAAGACAATCACCTGTACAAACGGCAATATCCCATTTCCCCCTTTGTGTTTCATTATATGTGAAGGGTGCTGACAAAATGAGTTACTTCTCGGATTTGAGACGTATGAAAATAGATACGTCACACTTATAGGTGAAGTTTTTACAATTTATAAGTATGAAATAATGAAAGGCTTATTATACTAAAGAATATGGCATCTGTAAAAAATCTACAATTTTGACCCTAGTGTCGATTTTTGGCCAATATCTCTGTTTGTGGATTTTGAGAAGTAACTAATTTTGTCAACACACCTCGCATATTATAATGACACTGTCCGAGACATCCACCTGTCTAAGACATCCACCTTGTCTAAAACATCCACCTGTCTAAAACATCCACCTGGTCTAAAACATCCACCTATAAAAAAAACCAACCTGTCTAAAACATCCACCTTGTCTAAAACATCCACCTGTCTAAGACATCCACCTGTCTAAAACATCCACCTTGTCTAAAACATCCACCTGTCGAAAACATCCACCTGTCGAAAACATCCACCAGTCGAAAACATCCACCAGTCTAAAACATCCACCTGTCTAAGACAACCACTTATCTCCTCAACAAAGCGTGGCCATCTAGACAATTTTGACTGTACTTTAATTTCCCCGAGGCACTGTCGGATTACCTGAGAGATGACGATGAGATCACAGGCACAAGACACATCTCAGGAACTGGGAATAAAAGATTTTTGTCAGTGTCAGGTCAAGCTGCGACTAAAATGGTTGGGGTTTTTTTCTAAACAATCACAAGCAAACGTCAACAAAAAGATAGGCCCTACCCAAAAAAATATAAAAATTGACAAAATTGCTTTTCAAACTTCTTTTTAGTAAAAGTTTGGTCTTCCTTGATTTGACAAACTGTGTAAGTCATACATTGTATCAGGAAAACGAAAGTACAGTAAAACTCACTTGACATAAACTCCCTAAGCACAAACTTCTCGTGTGCACATTTCACCAATTTCTCATTGTATATATAACCATTTTCTCATTGTATATATAATTTAGAGCATGAGCTTACATCATCGTATCCCATTGAGCAGGTTCCTGTCTCGCCCCCACCATGTGCCATGCAATCTCTTTTCCTGAAAGCATCTGGGAGACAAACGAGAAAGAGAAGAAAGAAAATACAATTTTCATCCATCTCGAGGGGAATTTTAGGTACAGTGAGAGGTACATCACATACATATATTACTTACAAGTTTACGTCCGCACATAATTACATGCGTCACGACGCAATGGTATCAGGCACTCGTCAATTTTTGGGCATATGAAGTTATTGGTGTCATCTTTGCGGTTGTTCTTTTGCCTTGTTTTCGATGAAAAAATATCCATTTATCTTAAATAGAAGCCGAGATATTTGTGATTGAAGGAGGAGGGTCGTCTGGTTTCACTTTCAGAGGTAAAATTAGTGAGAAAATTGCTGTCAAAGTATGGTGACTTCCGTAGCTTGAGAGTTCATTGAGAGTGAAATTATATACTTTTTGTGCTTTTAAACGATTTTCAGTAAAATCGAAACATAAATGTGTTTTTGAAAGGACATGAAAGGGGTTGAGCCAAAAGACAAAAATTTGATATAAATTACCAGACATATGGGAAAATCTCAGTTTCTTCAATTTCACTATTTTGACGAGCGCCTGATTTCACCACGATGCTTCACATATACATGTATATATCATATATCACTGTACAGAGTATACAGACCCCTTTGCTTGTTGCCACAGCCTAGCCGCCTTGGTTTTTTTTTTAAACCACAGTCAATGAGTCCTGCTCAAGGACACACCCCAGGGACCATCCGCCTAAATGCTGTGCTTCTGACATTCCTTGACATTTTATAAGATAAGATAAGATAATACTTTATTATCCCAGAGGGAAATTTTTCTTGGCTGTACAGGACCGTAAAAACACAGGCAGGTGTACATGAAAAATTTTAATTATAATGTATTACTCTCATTGAAATTCAATATCTGATCTCATCCGTCTCAGTATTTGGGGACTCGGATGGTTCCAGCTCCCATATAAGATATAAAAGAAGTTTTTTTACCATCTAGTATAAGGCCATAGTCAGAACAAACATAAATGTGTATTGCTCTTTAGAGTATGTATCTCTATATAACTCCAAAGGTCTTGTAATTAAATTCATGCATGTGATTGAATCACGCATCTGATGTGATATGTACACTTTGTCAGCTTTACTTCTTTTTTCATATTGAATTTTAACCAATTTCCAGTTTGTGACTCTGCCCGTTTTTCCTGTGGACTCCTCATGTCACATTCCCCACTTGTGTGCTTAACACGTAGGTGTACCTGTGTATGCTCGGAGGCGCACGGAGAGAGCCACAAAATCGTCGAAGGCGATAATACATCGTCCTCCAGGGGGGACGACTCTTGAGTAGCGTTTCAGAATGGTCTCCAGCGTTTGTGGCTCAATCTGGTAACCTGGTGAGAGAATATTGTAAAAAAAAGAATAAATCAAAGACTGAAATTTAGCCTAAAGAACATTTCCATGTCAGACATATAAGGTGAAAAACCTTCACATTTATTGTTTCAAACAAACAAAGCCTTATCAGCAAGTGAAACTCTGTGTTACATTAAATATGTTTTAGACAATAATGTCTCAATTTTCAAGAAAAATGAAAGAAAACAAAAACAGATAGATAAGAATCAGCACCAGGTGATTTTATGGACAAGGCTGTTTATGTTTCAGAGACATTTGTGGTTGTAAGACAAAGCCAGTGATCAGTAAAGCCCACAGTGAACAAAATAAGACGCTAAGCATTAACCCTATCCGTACACCCTGAGGTCATTTTGTACCCCCGGGGATGTATTCTTCACATTTTAGAATACTTCTAGTACGAAGATCTCTTTGAAACTTTCAGTATTTCTCAAAAAATGATTTTGACAGACTGCTATGCTAAGCGCACGGATCGGATTAATGAGTAAATTTCCTCCTTGGAAAGTGGTGGCACAGAGTTCCCCACGTCGTATGGATACGATAGTAAAACACGACCTACGGATAGTGTTAAACTGTTGACATAACAAACTCTTGTGTAGAGGCAGACATGAAGCATTTCATCATTAGCTGAGGCAGAAAAAGAGGTCAGCTTCACATTTACCAAGAATCCTCTTGTTATTTTAGTACATTGTAGTTCTATTGTTCACGTAAAAATACATCAGAGGACAAAGTTAATTCTTAGAGGTCAGCACGACTACTGATCTTTCTCCAGTGAAGAGTTGAAAAAGGGCTGCTTCGGAATGAATGGATGAACCCAATACAACACTCATCACTTAGAGCCATCATGTGGATATTGTGTCCTGGGCACTCTGGAGTGAAGGGCAGTGAGGAGGCTGACAGGCTGGCAGGCAGTGCCGTGGTTGATGGTGGGGTGAAATTTGACAAATGAGAAATGTTGAAGACCCAGGAGGAAAAGTGGCACGATGGGGAAGACAGGGAGACAGCAGAACACCACGCAATCGTCTGGAAGCGGGAAATGGGGATAGAGAGGGGAAAAGGAAGAAAGAAACGATTATCAGGAAAGAGAAGACGTCGCCATAATCAAACAGCCACTGGAACAATTATTATGGATACCTTGCGGGCTTTGGTGCTGAGAGGAACTGAGCACTTATGGACCTGTCCGGTGTGCAATGACGTTGTTGCCCAGGACAGGTAAAACAGGTAAACTGATCATAAATCTTGCCTACAGTGCAACTGTGCCTTGTCCTCATACTCATATATCAAATCTTTCTTCTTTTATGAAAATTTTGGTGGGTAATACATGCTTGTAGTTTGAAATCTTTCTTTTTAATACTGAAAATGCTAACAAACATATATACATATTTCGAATTAAACTTTCTGCTACAAAGATCGTAATAAGCTTAGAGCGAGTAAGAGTTACCATGTTCAATTAAATAACTTTTAAAGTTTTTGTTGTTGTTTCTTTTTCATTTTCAAACTGTACCCTGGAGACACATTGTAATCGTAGATGGTTTACACCCCAACCAACACAGTTTAGATCATTTAGGAGGTGGGCTTCTTCAACCTTACCTACATCTCAGCGGACAGATGGAGATTGGAGATACTCAATAAAAAAAATCTCCCCATATGAGAATCAAATGTGGTCTTTTTGGCTGTTTATTGGGCAATCTGGCGCGTTGGTCAATAACAGGAAGTTAGGCCTAACCTATTGTATTATTTGGCGCAAGTGGGTGAAGCAGAGTGAGTGAGTAAATGTGAGACGAGTTCAGTCTCAGTTCAGTTGTATTGTTTGGCGCAAGTGTATAAAGCAGAGAGAGAGAGAGTGAGTAAGTGTGAGACGGGGCAGTCTGGATTACAGCAGGGTAGAGGTGTTCTATGGTCAGCTTAGGTAATAATAAAGTGTGTAAGGTACATGGAGCTTGTTGTCGAGCAGGGTTATGCACTATAAAAAAGCTATTTATTATTATTATTAAGCTTATTATTATTATTATTATTATTATTATTATTATTATTATTATTATTATTATTATCATTACAAAGGGATGAAATTGTCCAATACCAAAGAGCTGTTTGATGACTCTGATCAGCTCTGCGGCATCAATGAAACCTGACCGGTCAAAGTCGTGCTGGCAGAAAACATTGTACCAAGCAACCAGGCATTGCTGTAGTTCCAAGAACTCTGCCCACTGCATAAAACCATCTTGAGATCGCTGGAAAACTTTGAAGGAAAAACAAGCGATGTCTCTGTTGGTTCTCACAAAGTACTAACTATCTGATCAAAAGTCTAAAACAGGGAAAGTAATATAATGTCAACAGGTGAAATGAAGACAATACACAGTACAAAAATATATGTGAGGCATCGTGGTAAATCAGGTGCTCGTCAAAATAATAGAATCAAAGAAACCGACAATTTTCCTCCAGTTTGTCAATTTTTATCAAATTTTTGTTTTTGGCTCAACACTTTTGATGTCAACATAAACCACATTTCTGTGTGAATTGTACTCAAAAACTTTGATGTTTGAGGGATATCTTACAAAGATAAAGAAGAAAAAAAACCCGGACCACAGGCACAGTTCGAGGGATGCATGATTCCGAGTCTTCTATGTTCACTTATCCGTGTTAAACTGTATTTGTGTCACGACGCGGTGGAGTCAGGCACTCATCAATTTTTGGGCATGTGGAGTTATTGGTATCACCTGAAAGCTTATTTATTTGCCTAGCTTTCAATAAAAAAAATAATATAAATACCCATCTATCTTGAATAGAAGAAGATATTTGCGATTGAAGGAGATGATGTCGCCTGGTTTCAGTGGTGAAATTAGCAGGAAAATGGCCGCCAAAGTTTGGCAACTTCAATAGCTAAAGAGAACTTAACTGAAAAATGACATATTTTGTTCCTTTCGTTAACATTTTTCTGTAAAATTCACCCGAAAAAGTGATTTTATTTGCACAAAGAAGGGGTTGAGCCAAAAAACAAAAATTCGATAAAAATTGCAAAAACTGGCGAAAAAAACACCTGTTTCTCAGATTTCATTCGTCTGAGGAGCGCCCGATTTCACTATGATGCCTCACACTTTTCATTTCCTAGACATCATTCCCAGTCATCAGCAGAAGGACAATGAGTCACAGGCTCAAGGAAAAGGATACATCCAACATGGCAATCATGATGCTGGAAAAAAAAGAAATAACATAAAAATTTTTGTGAGATTTTCATAATAAATTGATAGAACTATAAACAATATTAATCTCAAAGGTTCATCTATGTAGGCTAGTATATTGATAAAGACATGGACCTATACAGTATGACAAAAGTAATGAGTATATTCTAATTTTGTAATGTTGATCTACATGGAAGAAGACAACTACATATTGCGACCTCAGTGCTTTCTTGTCGTATCTTCACTTTTTTTAACAATGAAAATGTGACTTCCTTCCTAAGATGACTCTTTGTAATGAACTGTTTTTACTGTTAGTAAAAATGGAGATACCACAAGAAAGCATTGAGGTCGCGAAATGTGAGTCGTGCTGACAAAATGAGTAACTACTCGGATTTTAGCTTGATGGAAATTGATACTTCAAATTAAATTTACAGGTTGTATTTTTACAATTTATTAGTATAAAATGATAAAAGACATGTTAGATTTGAAAATGGTAACATTGGTTTAGAATGAACAAATATGACTCTTGTGTTGGTGTTTTTCTCATTTCTCCATTCATGGATTGCGAGAAACAACTCATTTTGTCAACACACCTCACAATCAATGTACTTGTGTCACAAGCATCCATGCACACACACATACATAGACACACAAACACATACACATACACACACACACACACAAACACTCACACATACACACATACACAAACACACACACACACACACACACACACACACAAACACACACATAGACACACACACACACACAAACACACATACCCATAAACACACACACACATACAAACACACATACACACACACAAACTCACATGTACACACACACAAACACACATACATACACAAACACACACACACACAGACACACACAAACACACACACACAAACACATACACACACACAAACACACACACACAAACACATACACACACACACAAACACACACACACATACACACACAAACACACATACACACACCAGCACAAAACAAGTAAAACAGAGAGATTATGTCCAGAGGGGTGGGGGTGACCTAATAATGAAACTGTCAGGATACCTTTACAATCTGCAGTATTCCATACATTGACTCACCTACACATTTCTCTGCTCCAGTTCACTGAAAAAAATTAAAAAATAAAATGTTTATTGTACAGCAGAAATTTGTTTCTTTCCTACTACAACTGTTATTCATAATTCTTGACTTTAATGGATAAGAAAGAGGGTTACAGGGTTGGTATCACAAGGGGACATTTTTTAGACCATAACAAGTGTGTAGCCTGCATAATATTATTATCAAAAATATTTTGTAACTACGCGGCTGATTCATATAGTTGAATATTGGGTAAATTTATACAATAATTCCCGTCTCATACGGGGTGTTATTTTGTAGGGTTTTTTGGGATTTTTTAGGGCCCTGAACACGATTTGGGCATTAAAAAACGTCGCAAATGATTGTTTCAGGGGGTGGGTGGTTGGCGGGAGCTCTGGTGTGGTTTGCTTCTTCTTTCCTATCAAACGTCTATTGTCTTTATCTCCCCTCCTCTTCTTTTTTGTGTTTGTTACTCTCTTTTAACACCTCTAATCTTCGGCACTTATATGACCTTATTGTGCTGCAAGAGCCGAAAAACACTTATTAAAACTAAAACTTATTTCAGGGGACACCCCCCCCCCCCAACCAATGACTATAAAAGCGTGCATAAACAAAAAAAAAAGCCAAACCAGCATGGATAGCAGCCATGAGACGGGAGTGATTCTATAAAAATACCGAATATCGTTTAGCAGGTCAAACAAATCTGTATGTCATTATGCCTAACCTCTATCAAGAAAATCTCGTCTTTAAACTATTCTTTATAAATCACTGGATAGCGTTAGTCAAAATAACCAGATAACAAAAGCTCCAGCACAAAATCTACCCTGTTTAACCCTATCCGTACGCCCTGGGGTCATTTTGTACCCCCTGAGTTGTATTCTTTTCATTTTAGTAAACTTCTAGTGCGAAGATCTCTTTGAAACTTTCAGTATTTCTCAAAAAATCATTTGGACAGACTGCTATACAAAGCGTACGGATTGGATTAGCAAGTGAATTTCCTCTTCGGAAAGTAGTGGCAGAGAGTTCCCCACATCGTATGGATACGGTAGTAGAACACGACGTACGGAAAGGTTTAATGATTTAACAAAATAGGAAACTATCCACATTGTCAAATTTGTGTGAACATTACGTCTGTAGAAGTTCCGGATGCTGGGTGTATTGTTGAGAACGTTCATCAGATCCTCCGCCTGGATCGCACCTCTCAACTGCAACAAAGAAAATAGGTTAGTTTTAGTAGAGGTTTTACGGTGCTCACAACAGCATAAGGTCATATGAGCGCCACGGGGGGGATGTCAACAGAGAAGTCCTTACAGGGAATCAGACTTACTCTGTTCACCTCTCTAGTTTCAAGAGCACAAAGTCTGCTTCAACTATCAAGGCACCCCGGAAATAGCGGGTCACAAGAGTGTGACAAACATACAAAATAAGTAGAAGAAATATGGCGAAAGTAAGGGTTAGGAAAGATAAAGTAGCAGTTCCCTGTTGCAGTTCAGGCACCGTTAGGAGGATGACATTGATGAACCAGCCCATTTACAATAACAATTTGACTGTGCATAAGAACATGGTTTATGTTCCCCTTTGGGAATGGCCTAAAGACACTTCAGTCAGTAGCACCGCCCTAGGGGGAAGAAAGAAAATTAAAAACCTGACTTTTTCAAGTGCATAATAAAGCTCTCAGTATATTTCTGGTGGTGCTGCAAGGCAGAGCCAGTCTGAATATCTGTTATTGTTATTGTGTTTTAAATTCCTCCTGCCTCTCCCCAAACCCCACGTTCTCACACCGCTTATGTTTATGCCATTTATAGGCATCGGTAGTAAAGGAAAACATAAACTTGTTCCTGGTATATCTTCTTCCACAGCAGACAATAAATTCTTTGCTTTAATATGCAAAATCTTTACTCATGTTTCACTAGACAGAAAGACTGAGCGAGGAAATGTGAGAGGCAAAAGTTCAAATACGTTTGGTGGATGATAAAGGCTAGCAGAGAAAACTGTACACAAACTGGCAGTAGGCAACGGGAAGCCACTGCTGTAATATCCCAAGAACAATCATGGAAAAGAACATTCAAATATGTAGGATAGAAAAATAGACATTTGAAAGAAGTGGAAAAAAAACCCCATAGTTATTATATACTGTATGGAAGAAAATCAAAATGATTTATTTCTCTTCATGGAAAAGTTCTAAATTAGATGTTGTTAGATTCTGTTAATCTCATTACAAACATCCCTAACTTCCAAAAAACAAGAGTGAGCAGGAGGAATTTACCACTGTTTGTTTCTTTACCCATCAAAATGATCATTTCATCGATTCTTTAGATTCCAAACAGTTTTCATTTAAGTTGGAGGAAAACACATCCGGGGAAATCAGAACCAGAAAATGTTTGGAAAAGGCTAGAAGACAAAAAGAAACAAGAGTAACAGAAAATAGTCAAACCAGCCACATCCTCCAACCACCTGCCTCACACGACGTGCACAGCTGCCTGCTTGGTTTACAGACCAGCTGGTCACTTGAGGATGCCGTTGAGTAAGACACCTTCACCCTAGCTCAAAAACAGGGAGATGCACAATGATAACAAGCAAATTATATTTTAGCGTATTTGAACAGACTGTAACCTGCTTTGGGTATATACATATACTTCTGCAAAATAAAAAAATTATTTCCTTTTCTTTTCTTTTTATCTCAAAGCAGTCCTACTGAATAATGGTAATAGTCTGAGTTATTGATATGTTGAAAAGACTTACAGCATTCTCAGGATTCTTTTCCATTTCTTTTCGAAATACAGTTTCCAAATCACTGGGTTGTCGATACTGGTATGCCTGTGAGTATGAGATCATTCAGAAAATGAAAAGGGCTATCATCACAGCCAACAATGTATTATACATTAATTAAAGTCCATGCAACAATATAGAAATATTAGGGCAGGTATATTTTAGCAGTGACGAGCATATACAGCAGTCTCCGCATAAAATCCCACCGCTTATGAACCTGGTTCGCTTAAGATCTCGCTGTTTTAAGAAAACAAAATTTTTACTACACAAAATTCACCCCTAAGATCTCACTCTGATTCACTCTGAAGGTCTATATTCGGCTAAAATCCCATATTTCAGATAATAATTTACAGAATAAAGAGCCAGGCGGGCACAGCCAATCAACCAAGAGTAAAAAGTTGAGATCATTAAACTGCCCGTGCATCAAACATCAGCCACTTTCGTGAATGTGATCACATAAGCCTTGGGTAAAACTCGATGAAGTGGTACAATAATGTTTGCCCCTAACAGGTTCACACTGAGGTGTGAACTGACCGACATGTTTGATTTTCCAAAACACTACACTCGCATCTGAGCTCTCCACCTAAACTTACATCACTCGCTGGGTGGGTAGGGCCTACAAGATTACATCGAACTGCGAACTCTTCACTGATCATTGGAGCAGTTGTCTCTACTCTAGGATATGCCAGACAGATTGAACTTTAATTGGTGTGGTCACAACATAATGGTGTGTAACGACAAAGGCGGGGGAAATTGGTCAGAGATGGAGAGCTATAAATTTTGGACAGATAAAGGGGAAGGGCATCTGGGTAAGCGTAGGTCTTGAGACTCAAGATAGGATAATAAAATGAAAATGACATGCCTCATGCCACTGCAATTGGATATCAAGGTTGACCACTCTTTGCTCATCATATGTCATAAACCCACCCAGGGGCCATGTCAATTCATTTAAGAGTGAAGGGAGACCATTTTACTGGTTGTGAACCTTAACATGGGTCACCGTAGATACTTTTCTTGGTTCATCGGCTAAGATCCTGTTCCAGGAAGATACCGCATTTTCCTTTCTCCCGAGCACCGAGATCTTATGCGGAGACTACTGCAATTGTGTCTCGTTAGACGTAAGTACATGTACATTGGGGGGGGAGGGTTAAAACTCACAGGATAAGCAAACCCAACTCATATGTGGACAATGATTACAAAACCAAACATGTGCTTGTAGCAGTTACTTGAAATCAACTATTCAGTTATCCTGGTCAGGTGTGAGAGGAAGGGTCGAGACAGAAAAGGTGACGTGAAAAAGATCATCTGCTTACTTTTTAAATGCAAAGGGAATGGGAGCACTTAAGCAGTGACTTGATTTTTTTTTTTTTTTGAGGCAAATCATCTTTCTAGGCTCATAAAACTCATAGATAAAAGTCATGTTAATGAAAAAGGATAGAAATAATCCCCTTCTTTACCAGCTAAAGAAAATGTAAAAGATCAGATTTAAAAAAATATAGGCCTATTATCATGCCATTCAGACGTGAAAATTCAAGAAAAAAAAACACATACATAAAGTACAACTATTTGAGAACAGCATGTTAAGATTTCTCAAATGTATTGCAAAGACAGTTCCGAGGTTTTACAGGCCCCTTTAATTTTGCAGGACTTCTTTTATATATCACCCTTAAGTACCTCCCAATCAGATCTCAGCACTTTTGACTACCAATGGAAATTTCGTTACAACTTTTGAAATTAGCTTCCTGTTGTGAGGCATCGTGGTTAAATAAGGTGCTCGTCAAAATGATGAAATCATAGAAATCAGCTTTTTTGGGGGGGCGATGGGCAATTTTGTACAAATTTTCTTTTTTTAGGCTGAACACATTTTATGTCCATTTAGAAACACATTTCTGTGTGAATTTTACTGAAAAACATTGATTAAGGGCAGAAAAAAATGTAAATTTTCAGTTTCCAAGGACTCTCTGGCTATGAAAGTTACCAATCTTTGGCTACCATTTTCTTGCTTATTTCACCTCTGGGACCATGCGATCCTGACCTCCTTTAATCGCAAATATTTCGACTTCTATTCAAGATGGAGGGATATTTTCTTCACCAAAAGGAAGGCATATGAACAGGCTTTAAGATGATACCTATAACCCTGTATGCCCAAAATAGTGACGAGTGCCTGATTCCACCACGTCCTGACACATTTACCTCCCATGCGTTCACGTTGAAGACACTGTTTGTGTAGTACTGCCCGTAGCGCCCGTAATGTTGGCTCTCCTGCTGGTACAACTGGTAGGGTTGCGGTACTGGTGGCGGCTGTGGCATCGGATGGACGTGGCCATGATGTTGGTATGGAGGCGGAGGCGCCTGTTGCTGGCTTTGAGGAAACGGCTGGTTTCCTAGAGGGTAGTTCACCCCACCGCCATAGTACGACATTGTAAGTTCCTGAGATGAAATTTTAGAAGGCTAAAGACAAACCACCAGCAACAATGTGCCATGCTTTATTCTTTTTCTTTTTTTATTTCCG